TAATAATCGCACTTCAAATTTTTACTGAATATTAGTTAGGTTTTGAGGTTTAAAACAAATACAAAACCATGTTTCTAACATTCGTGGTTGGTGAGTTATAAGCTTTTAAAGGCAAGCAACTCTACTTGCGTTTCTTTTGTAAGCCACTGTATTTAATATATTTTATATTATATTTTATATATTAGTAATTGTAGTTACAAATTTAGTTAGTTTATAGTATAGCAATTAGTTAGCTGTAACAAATTAATTTTGTATAAATAGAATAGCTTTTTTGCTTAAATTAAAAATTAATTCTTTTATAAGTTTTAAAACTCTCTTGTAAGTTTTATAACTCTTATAAGTTTTAAGTAATAAATAAAAGAATTAACTTTAAAATATAATTACTTTTTTCTTCTATATATCTATCATCTAAGATTTGATTGTAAACTACTACATTAACTTACTTTTGAGTTCATCACTTGGAATAAATAAATTCTCTAAGATTTCTTAAGTTTTTAAACCCTTAAGTTCATAAAGTTAAGTAAAGTAATTCCAAAAAATTTTAGATATCTATAAGACGTGAGATTCCCTAATGTTATAAAGTCTGATGATAAGAACTTACTTATTACAGTAAAGTAACTTAAACAGAAACATGTAAAAAGAATTATTCTCAGTAATAATATATAATATTACTATGTAGAATTATTATATGTTGAAAATAATTCATTAATTAGAATAAAATAATTGGATTTTGTTTTTTTAGTTTTAGTATTATGTATAAACTGAATTTATTTTTTATTATAATATAATTAATTAATTTTTTTTAATTAATACATATATAATTAAAGTTATCCTTTAAATTGTAGAGCTTCGCAGACAAATTTACCTGCTTATTTACTATAAATTCTATAAATTCTCTTTTGATTATTTTTATAAATAATTAATATTTTAAAAAAAAATTTTTTTTAAATTAATTATAAAAATATAATATGGGGCATATTGCAACAAAATCAGACAAAGTGAACATTAGTATTACCAAGGATTTCAGGGATCAATATTGTTTTTAACATCACAATTGTATTATTACCAATGTAATGTGATCATGATATTTGCTTGTTTTTAGATAAAAATAGTTAATATGAAACTAATTTACATCAGATCTACTATGGAATCCAAGAATTACAACACCATTAGAAGTATTTTGAAAAAGGATCAAGGTGAGAAAATTGCTCCTTACATTTTTAAATTAGCAGATATCAAATCTTTGCAAACATATTTAGACAAAGAAAGAATTACCTATGAAATTTATCAAGAGGAAAGAGTTTTCAAAAGAGTATCAGAGAATTCTAGTAAAGAATCAAGAAAAAAAAGAAAACTGACAGAATAACTAAAACAAATAATTACTTTTTTTTCAACTTTGTTAATTTTTAATTACCTTTTATTTTCAATCAAGGTCATTTTTTAGTTTTTTTAACTTCAATTTGAGCAACTTGTTGAGAAGTTAACTGTTCTAACTGAGTCTTTAACCTTTTGATTTCCTCTTTATGATCATCATTCTCTTCTTCTAACTGCTTAATTTAGTCTAATAATTCTTGCTTTTGTCTTTTATTTCATTCCTCAGACTTTTCTTGAAATTTGACTACTTCTTCTCTTTCAATTTCTAAGGCTTTTTCAGTCTTGTTTAGTTATTCTTGTAGGAAGTTTATTTGTCTTTCATAAAAAGTAGACTGACTTATTTCTTCATAAGATAAGAGGGGAAGTTTCTTCTTTTCTAAATCTTCATTGTTTCTAATACAGTAGCAAACATTCTTACCATTAACAATATCAAAATTTAACTTAGTTTGCAATCTACCATATCTATTGCACTTTGACAATTTATCATCCCAATACTTTTCTTCACATCTTTCACAAATCATGTCATCTGAAATTCATTCTCCAGTTACTTTGCTACGAGATCTTATTTAGTGAACAGATTTATTATTTTTGTTTTCAAATTTAGAGCAAAAATCACAAGTTTTTTACTTTCTTTTTCCAATTCTAAAACTGTGTATTTCAGTTCTCTCATTATAATTTACTCTTTATTTAGACTTGACTTCTACTTGAGCAATCATTTCTCGGTTGTGAAATTTTTCCTTTTTGATTAATCTTTGTAATTTTTGGAACTTAACTTTTGCTTTTGTTTTTAATTACTTAAAAATGTTCTATTTAGTTGATAACTTGTTCTCTTCTATAGGTAAAGCAGGTAAGGGTTTATTATCTAAGTAGAATGAATTCTTTAGATTTTCATTTTGTGTTTCACTATCAGTTAATTGCTTACTTAGTTTTTCTATTCTTTTGCTCTTTTGACTTGATTCTTCCTCCAATTTTTCAACTCAAACTTCTAGATAAGAAATCTTTTTACTAGCACTCTTGAGTTTCTTGTTTTTTTCTTTTATGTCTTCTGCTTGAGCTTTACTTCATTTTTCACCAGTTACTACAACTTCCTCAACTTGTTCCTGTACTATTTTTACTTTTTCTTCTAGCTCCTCTACCTTTGCTTCTAAATCTTTAATTCATTCAATCTTACTTTCTATAATATCTTTAAGAATTATATCTTTAGCTGGTCAACCAAAAATTTCACCTCCTTCTTCTATTTGAGAAAAAATATGAGCTCTTTACTTTCATAGTTTCCAATTTTTTTCAATTCACTGGCTAATTCAGTATCTTCAAAGTAATCTATAATAATTCTCTCAACTACTTTTTCTAGATTTTCTTTACCTTCCCATTTATAGTCATGCATAAGGTTATGTTGAAAACAAACATTCATAAATTGATTTCTTAATGGCTTGCTAATTAATTTTCTTAGATCTTATACAATATTCTTACTACAGTAAGGAAATCTTTCCCTTATATCTATCAATATTTGGTGAATTCTTTCTGTTGCTTCTTGCTTGAATTCTGCTTCCTCTTGTTCACTTACTCCTAGATTTTTTAATTCAGTAATTTCTTGTTCTTTATTGGATAATTGCTTTTCAATGTTTCAATTTTGTTGATTAGTTCTTTATTTGCTTGTTGTTATTCTTTTAAGATGTTTGTCATGATTTTCTTGATTGTTCCTTTTTTATTTATTCTTTTAATATACTTATATCCTTAGGGTATATTAAGTATATAAATTATTTTAGTATTTTTTACTTTAAAAGTAGAAAAAGTTAACAATATTTGTCAAAAGATTAAACTTATTAAATTTAATAATGCAAGGGACAAATTAATGAGTGATAAAGTCATAGAAGTGATTTTATTTTGACTATTTTATTGTTACCAGTATAGAATGGCCTTTGACAAGTAATATTTTTGTATTCATCTTTTACAAATGGGCGAATATTATTATAAAGATATTCTTGTCTTTTGTAGCCCAAAGGAGGTGGTGTTAACACTAAAATAGATAAAGCTCTAATTTCTTCAAAAATATCTGCTTTCTTGGTTTTCATTAAACTGAATTCAGTAAAAGATCCATTAGCAACTCCTTGAACTTTCACTGTACCAAGATTAGATGCTTTAAAAAGAAAATGTTGAAATTTCTGTATACTTGGTAATTTCTTAAAATAAATTCCCAAAATAGCTTTAATATCTAAGTATTGAAATCCTTTTCCATCTTCATAACATTGAGTTTTATTCAATCCAGCTGGACTAGATCTTTTTACTACCTCAACCACATGGTTCAAACAATCTACCCTTATTTTCCTATAGAGTTTTTTGATCAATCCAAAACTACCATCACAGTTAAATTTAGTATGTTCTGAAACCATGAAATTCAATTCAATGCTTTCATAATAATCACAAATTACCAAATATAAATAAAACCAAATTGTTACATTATTTTTATTTTGTCTACCAGGTGATCTTTAAATGCTTTTCACTTTTATTCAATTTCTTAATTCCATCAAAAATCATACTAAGAGTGTCATTTGGTCCTTTACCTATAATTTCATTTTCATTAAGAACATAATTAATTTGTTCCCTTACTGCTTCATCTTGAATACCAAATAAATGGACTTTACAAGGACTAAGATAATAAATTTTGCTTATCTGTTGATCTAAATATGATACATAAACATTTTGGGCTCAATTATAACTATAATGCTCGTCAGAAGGAAAAAGCCAAAGAATTACTCAAAGGATTTAAAGAACATCTGTCTAAGGCAAAATTAGAAAGAAATTATTATAATAAAAATACCAAATTAGCAGAAGAACAAAGAAAATTGATTAATCAAAATTATTCAAATGGTAAAACACACTATTGCAGCATTGATGCTACTGCTCATTATAATATAAACCATCTCTAAAATGTTGACAAGTATCACACAAGTCAGTCCTAGGACTCATAATTTGAATCTCTGGTGTCAATTAATGTCATAATTTTCTGAAGGCATCATATTTTAAGGATTTCAAATTACTATCTTCTTCTAGACCAGCCAAAAAATCTCTGTGCACAGATTTATAACTCATTTCAGCTGGTAAAAATATAATTGATTGGGTTATTCTATTGATACTTCTTCTTGGACTTGGTAATCCATGGACTTCAGCATAATTTTCTACCATAAATTCTTGGCAGAAGACCATTATTTATCAGATAATTTCTAATATTTTCAAAATAAGTTCTACCAATGCCTAGCATATTGAGATAAATTTCTTGACAAAGGGATGTATTGTAATCTCAGTGATAGAAAGTTCTTTTATTAGATCTGGTTTTCTTTTTAAGACGTCTACTAGTGCTTATTGATCCACCATCCATGATTTTAAGTTGGGCTATTAAAAATATGTCTTGTTCAGACTTGGAAAGTGTTTGAAAGGATTCTCTTAATTCTGCAAATTCTTCCTTGAGGATTCTTAAAGAGTAACCACAATCACATTCTTTTTCTAAAAAATCAATTGCTTTTTGATATTCGTTAGAACCATTATATTTATTATTATTACTTTTCATATACACTTATCCCTATATATATAATTTTATATTCACCTTGTAGTTTTATTTCAATTGATCTACTGGAAAATAATTTCACTAAAATTTAAAATGATGTCAGAAAGGTAGGGAAAAAAAATTAATATGTTATATTCTTATAATGTGTATATTATTTAAACAACAATAATCAAAAAATCATTTTGATAATGTTTTTTTAGTTGGAACATTTATAGACATGATTAACAAATTAAAAACCATCAATTTAAATTCAATTTCTTCTCTTTAAATAATTTTGAATTAATAGTAAAATGTTTAAAATGAAATTAATAAAATTGATGAAATCTAAAAGTTTACATTGATCAATCTCTCTATAGATATAATAATAATGTTATGTAGGTTTGTGTAAAAAAATGGGACAAAAAATAAATGAAAATATCACATAAATTTGTTCACAACACTATGTAAATTATTATTATGAGGTCAGATCAGATCAGATCAGATGGTAATGGTAACTACCTGTCCAATCATTTATAGCAAGTGTCTTTAGTATATTTAGTCATAATGAAAAAATTATGTTATAAAGAAAATTAATGAGAAATTTATTGTAAAAAACTTCAATTATGAAAAAAAAACAAAGTAATTATTAGAAAATAAATGCCTTTTTTGACTATGTGATTAACAAAAATTGCATGTTTATCCACCTGGTAGTTGGACATTCTTTTATTGTTATAACTCATGCAGTATACTATTCTTCTTATTTTATTATATTTACTAATTTAGAAAATCACATTGTAATTTTTTGTAAGATTTAAATCCTTTTAATTTGATTGCGCTAAAAGAAAAGTATATTTATTACACAAGTTTATAAAAATTTTCTCCAGTAAAATTGTAATTTTTGTCACAGATGACTTCGAAAAAACAGCAACAAGAACGAAGAACTGTCCCAAAAGAGACTACACAAAAAGGTACAAAAAAACAAAAAACAAATGAAGGTTCTTCTGCATCTATACGACATTCAGAACATATTGCCAGCCAAGACTCGGATCTTACAAGTTCCACCAAGAAGCTTAAGATCAGTTACGATTCCGATTCTAGTTCCCGTACTGAATATAGCTTAAAAGATGTTCCTTTTCAGGCATCTCAATTCACAGAAGAAGATATAATAGCACTTAATGCGACCTTCAAGCCTTTGGAAGAGAATAACTTCATATCTGATGTTGAAGGTAAGAATTTATGATATATTTTCAGCAAACCTATACTTATAATTTAAATATTTTCTAGCCACAGACCTTCCAAGTTAATACCTTCTCCCAGAAATCGGTCGTGATGTTCTCAAAGAGGAAATTTTCGATGTTGACAATCTTAATACTTCAGACGTATATGTAATGCAGTTCTTTATGACTCTTAACAAAGTTATCATTAATTCAGGTGTCGATATAGGTACAGAAGAATCTAAGACTGACTCATTAATAATGCTTCTGTTAATTCGCGTATTTGGATTCGATGGATGACCATTTGGTGTTAGGTAAATAATAATAAATGTCTTTGCTTGTTATGTACTCTAATTAATTCTTAAGTTCACCACATACTTTAAATTTAGAATCAAAGAAAACTACAAATTGACTATTAGTGATAAGAGAGTGTCAGCAATTCCTGATTTTGTAGTGGATATGAAAAAAATTGCTATTATGGTCACAGAAGTTTGTATGTTTTGATTGCTTGACAATTCCACATTTCATCAACTCCAAATTTTGACAACTCAAAATCTTTTAACAGGATAAACATTTGAAAAATGTCTCACCTCCTGACTATGGAGAAGCACAAATATTTGCTGAGATACTTGCTTGTGGATGGGAAAATTTTTATCAATCTGGGAAATATATCGATTAGACTATTTATGCAATCTGTGTCATCTCATCATATGTGACATTTTATAAGGCTGAAATTCCTACATTGTATTGGAAAGAACTCAAGAGAGGCTTACCACAAAAACAATCAATTGAGATTTTAAGATGGCTAGGAAAAAATGGTACAAAATCTGGTCTAGATTTAGCAGTACTAAAAGAGAGGCATATTATATTTGAAACAATAACCAAAATTCGTCAATCTCTTTTACAATCCGCATCCTCCACAACCACTTCTACCTCTCACATTGTTGCTGGCATCACAGCACCTGTAGAGCAAGAGTAACAAGAGTGGAGGCAAAAAACCTTTGAAATAAAAGAAAAGAAGTTTGTCTGATGGGAAAAAATATAAGCTTTGTCTATCAACTAAAATTGCATATAATAATTTTTTAGTTAATAAATTGCAAGAACATTTAAAAGTAAAATAAAAAGTTTTATTAAGCAAAACTTAACAAGTTTTAGATCAAAGATTTTTTTGTTTTATTTATTATTATTATGAGTCATTAAATCCAAACAAGGATGTAGAGCAAAGGTAGTTTTAAAAGCATTTTTATACCTTTTGCATGTTATATTTTAATATTTCTACTCTAAGTATCTCTCAAGCTAATCTTTTTTACTATATGCTGGATTTTGGATATATCAAATAATTTTTATAATGATTAGCACATTCAATTTATAATTCAAAGTTTCTAAGAATTTTACAAATATACTCATGACTACTCTTATGGCCTATATTTATAATTCCTTTAAATATAAATAAGTAAATAGTAATGGTAGGAGTTCTGGGATTTTTATTCTGGTCTGTCCTTAATAAGAAATACTAATATTAATATATTAATATGATAAACTAATTGTAAATGTTATTATGTTTAAAAGTTACGCAGTCATCAGGAGAAGGTATTCAAATTTACTCTATCACACTGGTTTTATTTTTATTTTTTTGTCTTTTTCAATAATAAAATTATCATATACTTCCCTTTTCATTTTAAATAAATGTAGAGTTCAATCTTCATCTTCTTTTAATTTTTTTGTTTATATCATGTACTTCACCACTGAAAATAGCATATGGTACTGAGTTAGGAAGAGATTCATATTTTTCTTTTGATTTATCATTAGACATATTAAATATATTATTTGAGATATTACAATCTAAATAAATTTAAAAATAATTCATTTTGGAAAGTAAAGACTTAAAAGTAACTATCATCCAAATTGAACAAGTATCACGAAATAAGAAAAATATAGATAACAGGGTAGGTATTGAAATAAATAATTAAATAATTAAATCTTATATTTATTTTATTATCAAAAAAAAAAAGTTATAATGGAATGAAACATTATAAATGGCATTGATTTTAAAAGTTTTATTGAAAAGATAAAAATAAAAGTAGATAGTAATTTTGCATTAGATTTTTTTGCCCAGAGATTTCAGTCTTTTGTTTTGTAATAACACATTTTCATTCTGCTTTCTTTTTCTAACATTTATTATTTTCTTTCTTCTTAGTAAATTTCATAAGTAATCTTTTCTTTTCTTAGATAAGTTTCTAGTTTCTGAGTATCATTTATTTTGAAAATGTAAGGAGCAATTTTTTCACCTTGTTCTTTCTTCAAAATACTTTTAATGGTGCTGTAATTCTTGGGTTCCATAGTAGATCTAATGTAAATGAGTTTCATATTAACTATTTTTATATAGGGGTAGTTCTATATATCACTTAATATTAAGAAGATAAACAAATGTGAGATTTTAATAATCACATTACTAAATTTTGATCCCTGAAATCCTTGGTAACACTAATATTCACTTTGTCTGGTTTTGTTGCAGTATGTCCTATATATTATAATAAGTTTTATTTTTTAATTTTATGGGAGTGTTTCCAGTAAAATCACATTACGGATCATATGATTTACTATGCTTCATGACTTGATTTTACAGGAAACATTCACATATAATAAAAAATGTAATGTTACTTAAAAGCTAAAAATTTGTAATTTTTAAAAAAATTTATTTTAAAGAATTTTATGATTAATCTATGATAAACTTTTTAGAATTTACTTTTAACTATATTAATCATAATAGAATATTATAAAAT